ATTCCCTTTTAACAACAAACTCACAGAGCAGCACCTCGGATTTGCCACCAAATCCCTGGGGAGGGGCTCATTCCCCGCCCCAAATCTCTGAACTTTTACAGCCTCACTCTGGAATGAAGGTGTGGAGATTTCCATGGATTAAAACTAAAAAAGCTTCAGGGTGATTTACTGGGTACCACATATTGCAGAGTGTAAGGATGTGCCAAGGGGACATCCCTGTCTTTGGAGGGAAAGGATTTCCAGCCTCTGTGAGGGCTCTCCCAATTCCCAGTTGGATTTTCCAGCCTCTCTGGGGACTTTCAACTCCCAGTTGGATTTTCCAGCCTCTGTGGGGGCTCTCCCAATTCCCAGTTGGATTTTCCAGCCTCTCTGGGGATTCTCCCAACTTCCAGTTGGATTTTCTAGCCTCTGGGGGAGCTCCCTCAGCTCCCAGTTGGATTTTCCAGCCTCTGTGGGGGCTCTCTCAGCTCCCAGCTGGATTTTTCAGCCTCTGTAGTGTCTCTCCCAGATTCCAGTTGGATTTTCCAGCCTCTGTGGGGGCTCTCCCAACTCCCAGCTGGATTTTCCAGCCTCTGTGGGGGCTCTCTCAGCTCCCAGCTGGATTTTTCAGCCTCTGTAATGTCTCTCCCAGATTCCAGTTGGATTTTCCAGCCTCTGTGGGGGCTCTGAGTTGTGGCTGCTTCCAGAACGGCCCCACCACAGGCAAGAGGAGATCCCAGAGCTGGGAAAGTCTCTCAGATCAGCTCTGTCATTCTCCCCCTCAGAACGCAGCCCTTGAGGTGTTTTCCCACTAATTCACAGGGACAGATGCTCAGCAAGGCGTTCACACCCTGTTTTCCAGGCCCTGCTTCCAGAGGCACTCAGCAGTGACAATTCCCAGCACAGGCTGAGCCAGTGGCACCTCCCTCCCTGTCCCCAGCACGGGGGACAGAGAGTTTCATCCAGGATGTGCCTACCTGGAGCTCATTTATTACCCAGCACAGTTAATTGATGCAGTTTTAATTGTGTGATCCCTTAACGTGACTGGGATCATTTCAGTTCTCTCCTTCAGCTCCTCCTGCCCACCTGAGATGAGAAGCCAAAATCACCAAAAGTCATTTTTGAGGTAAAATCTACCTGCAGAATCTCCTGGTGGTCAGAGTCTCCTCCACAGGTTTGGGGCTGCTTCTTTCAACTTCACCCTGCTTTTTGTCACCACATCTTCTCCCAGGAGGAACCAGTTCAACAGATGTTAAAAGGGAACAAAGTCCCATTAAAAAAAAAAAAAAATATTTATATTGCTGTCCCATGGTGCAGGAGGGAAGTTTGGTGCCTGTTGGCCATCAGGAAAGGGCTTATTCCAGAAATTTCTGAAAAATTGGAGAATCACATGCAGGGCACAAGGTGTTCATTATGATGGGAATTGCAAAAAGCTGGATCTTATTAATGATGCTCCATCACTTATACTCAGAACTGCCTTTGGAAGTTGCCTAATTTCCTGGATTTTCCACTTAAATGAAGTTTTATTATTCTGCTCTTTCCTGTTACCTGTGAGAATTTATAAAATACGCCTCCTTCAGCCTCCTTCAGCTAATCTTTATCAGCAAATTCAATAACCTCAAGAATAAGCACGGTCCTCTCATCACTTTTCACCCTAATTAAGATGCTCTTCAGCATCTTCTTCCCTCAGGTGTTTCCTAATTAGGGCTGGTAATTAAGGCTGTGCCCAAAGGCTTTGCTCAGAGGTTGGCATCAGCCCAGCCCCACCAGGGGCTGCTGCCAGGCTCGGGTTGTCCCTCAGTCCTTGGTGGCACTGAGGGGTGTTGTAGGACATCCAGCAAGGAGCTCTGCTGAGCTTTTGGGATCAGGGAACTTGTCAGGATTTCTTTCTCTCCTTCTCACTGCTGAGTCCAAAGTTTCCCACTTGAAGATGGAGGAACCTCCCTGGAATATTTCCCGTTATTCCTATGTCAAAATTTCCTCTGTTAATTTCTCTTAGGACCCCAAAAAAGTCTCAGCGCCATGATTATTTATATTTTCCCTCTTTGCTCCAAGACCAGACACTGTGGAACAGCTGGAGAGCATCTCCTGTGGTCCCACCTCCCAAAATGTGGGGTTCCCCTGGTGCCAGGAGCCTCTGAGCATCCCAAACCGGGGTATTTCCCCTCTGAGACCAAGATCTAGCCAAGGTTCCTTTGGGACTTCAGGAGGACAAATAAAATCCCAGGGCTGGCTCAGTGGACATTGTAGAGATGGGGAAATCTTTCCTGGGAACTGCAGAAAATCCTCATTTCCCTCCTTCACACCACGGCAGTCAGCCCCAGCGGGACCCCATGGAATGAACCAGACAGGGACAATTCCAGGCCTGCTCTGGAGTTCAGAAGAGGGGAGAACTTCACCGTGGATATTGTACATATCACATGGGGAATTTGCAGTGTTCCAAGGTATTTTTTTCCCCCTGCTACCTATAATTCCAGGTCCTTTTTATCGTGTACCTTTACCACCAAAGTCCCAGGAACAATGATTTATTGTCACAGGAACATCTGATGGACTCTGGGGTGGAGGCTTGGCCATGGGAGAGGCAGCTCAGCCAGGAAAATCAGGGAATAGGGAAGGCTGGGGCCCCTCCTGAGCCTTCAGCGTCTTCACAACATCCTTTAGATGATGCCTTTTGAAGTGAAATAATAATAATAATAATAATAATAATAATAATAATAATAATAATAATGATGATGATGATAGTACCCAATCCCATCTAGATGGGATAATAATAATAGATGGGATAATCTATTGATGATAAGGAATGGATGGATTCTAGATGGGATTATAATAATAATAACAATAAGAATTTATTATTAATTCTAGATGGGATGATGATGATGATAATAATAATAATAGTAATAATAATAATAGTAGGATCCCTTCCCATATCTAAAGCTCTGTCCCTGCCCTGCTGACCCCACAGCCACAGGGCTGGGGAAGGACTGGACGGAACCATGGGCAAGCACCCCCAGGATCCAAACTGGTCCCACATCCACAAACCTGGGGGTGACTCCCCAGCCCTGCTGCCAGAGAAAGCCAGGAAGGAATAAGTTGTTGAAGTTAAGGAGTGTTTAAGTCAGCCAGAGGGATTCTAGATGGGTTCACTTGGAACTGAAATGTGCCCAGGACCTTTCCCACTCCCTTTCCCATTCCTTCTGGCCATTTGGATTCCTTTCATCTCCCCCACCAGCCACCAAATAAGGAAGGAAAGAAGTACCATTGACTGTTGTCATTATTTATTACAAATTATATCTTCAACATTACTGTCTAAAAAAAAAATCAATAGATTTAAATAAATATACAGATTTCAGGATGCTACATATGGCAGGTGTGCAGTAAGTCACTTAAGGATGGGACATTACACACACGAGGAGATTGACAGAGTACTTTACAGCAGTAGTTTTATTTTAAATTACTCACATTAAACCATGTGCAAAATTTCCTCTGGAACAAACCCTTTCAGGATTTTCTTCTTTTGGTTTTTTAGAGTGACTCCAACCTTCAGAAGGTCAAAGATTAAAACAGATTCTCTGCAGCTTTGGGGACCAAATGATTAATCTGCTGTTTCATCCACAATACAATCAATTGGTCTTATTTTTCCCCTCTCTGGGGCTTAAAGCAGAATCAAGGAATCTTTTTCTTGTCCATCGGGACTACACTTGCAACAGCCACAGATTCAGATTTTGGTCCACCACCAACGTGAAGCAGCCTTTCCAAAGCTCCTGTGCAGTCCTGGCGCGGGCAGCAGAGGGACCCAGCAGTGGAGAGCAGCTCTTCACCTGCCCTGCCCCGGTGACAGCCCCGGCTTCCCGCAGGGCTCAGCCTGCCCAGGCAAACAAAAGTGCATTTGTGACACAGCTCCGGAGCCCTGGGCTGCCTTTTGCCTGCAAGGTTGGTTTCTTTCTTTCGAGGTTGGTTTCTAGCCTTGGGCTCAGTGCTTTTCCCAAATTTTTCCTTCCCTCCCCTGGTCAGCAGATGTGGGTTTAAACCTGAGCCTAAGCTCAGGCAGGGCTGTGCTCCCTTACAGAATCTCAGGGGTTTGGGTTGGAAGGGAACTTAGAGATCACCAGTTCCAGCCCCTCTTCCAACCAGTCCTTCCCTCCTCATCATTCCCACCTGGCTGCCCCTCTCCTGCTGCACTGCCCTTCCCACGGGGACCTGCTGGCCCTGGCTGCTCATTGACTGTCCAGAGCCCGACTCAGAGCTGGCCTAAGCCAAGCAGCAAGCCAGGCTTTGTGTGCCCTCTGCCCACCACCCTCCTCCCTGCCCCAGCCCTTCCCTCTGGGCAGAACTGGGAGAAGCCTGGGACACTCAGGAGCTGGAAGTCCTCACTGAGGGCACATCCAAGGAGATGAGATGGGCTCGCTGACCCGCACCAGGGCTCTGCTCACCCTCCCCTGGCTGTGGGGGCTGGGGGCTCCTGCACAAGCCCAGCCCCACCTGGGTTTGGTGCCATCCCCGGGGTAGCTGATCCTGCACCTCAACCACAGCCAGGGCCTCAGTGGAAATCTGCCCCAGAGATTTCTCAGCCAGTGAGTGCCCCTGACTGCTCAGCTGGCTCCGGGTGATGAGGAAATAAACTTTAATACAAACTGGGAGCTGTTCCACCACGGGAGCCTCGTCCATGGGCACTGACTGACAAGAGAAAATAGTGCAAAGCTGGGCTCGGGCTGGAGGCAGCTCACCCCTGGCTGCAGCGAGCAGCCAAACCCCTCTGGATGGGCCAGGCTGGCCCAGGCTCAGGCAGCTCCAGGCAGAGCAGCCAGGGCAGTGTTGGGCTCGGTGCTGCCTGGTCCAGCCCTGCCCAGAGCCCCTGGCTGTGATTCACCCCCATGTGTGGGCTCCAGGGCACAGTCCAGCCAGTGCTGCTCCAGCACGAGCCTTGCCTGATCCAGAAGGGCACAATTCAGCTCCAGGACACTTCTCTGGCTGGATGGAGAGACAGTTTTCCCCTTTGCAGCAGTCCCTTGAGCGCTGGTTCATGCAGCAGGAACACGGAGACTTCCACTCCCTTCCCTTCCACTCACGGCCTTCCCTTCAGCTCTAACAACTGACAGCAGAGCTGGTGGCACCCGCAGGACTCCAAATTCTTCTGGTGAGCTTGGTGTGCACCCGTCTCTTATCTCTTCTTCTTCCAGATGTTCTTTTCCCAAGGCAGAGCCGGTGGCTGTGTGTCCTGCCGGGAGTGCTGCTGCCGTTGGCCGGAGCGCGGGCTGGAGACCCGGAGGTCCCTGGGGACAGAAGGGACACCGTGCTCACTCTCCAGCCCATCCGCCCCCTACTCAGTACCCCATATGATGACATTTATCTACCCCTCACCACTATTTGCTGGGAGGCAGGAGATGGGGAAGGAGGAGCAGGAATTTCTGCCCTCAGCTGCCTTAAGGCACAGAGCTTCATCAAACCCAACTTGGTGGCAGGGGATTCAGGGATGACCCAAAGTGCTGCTTCCCCAAATCTGGCTTTCAGAAAGTGCCCCTATTACCTCTGATTTAATTGCCACCAATTCATTGACTTGCCGCCTCCCTTTAGCTCAGTTACCCTCCTGGAGTTGTTTCTCCCCACAATTCCCTGATGTGGGCTTAGAAAAGCTCTGTCCTTTGATCCAAAGCTGCTGCCCCATAAATTATCTTCCTGCATGATGCCATCCCCTCTCCCTCCTCTGTCCATCACTCATCTGCCTGCCCCACATCAGAGGAACTCCCCACTCCAACCAAGAGTTACTTTTTGTGTGGCACTGCTGTGGTTTGGGAAGGGCACACGCAGCCCTGGCTGCTGAGATGGAGCCTCCAGTGCCACAGAGAGCAGAGACAGCCAAGCCTCCTCTCTTAGAGGGGACAGCAGGAGGCAGAAGTCAGATCCGAGTGGGAACTGCAGCCTGAGGCCACAACCACACGTCAAGTGCTCATAAGGAATGATCAGAGTGGGTTTAGGTGCCCTGCTCACCTGAGAGCTCTCAGCAGCCCATGATGGGGAGGCCTCGTGGCACCGCTCTGCAGAGACCTCGCTGATGCTCCAGAGCTCACGGGCAGCTTCAGACTCTGGAGGTACCTAAGGAGCAAGAGGAGAAGCCTGAGCCACCCACAGCCGGGCTGTGGGGAGCTCAGGGGGAGCCTGGCCCGGTGACAGACAGCTGAATGCACGGCTTTGAAGGGTTAATTGCAGCTATTTGGGAGCTATTCACGGCTTACTTTGACTGCTATTCCCTCGTGCCAGAGCTCCTCTATTCACAGGCAAAATGAATGATTGGGGATTGTAACTATTGCCTGGCTGTGGAATTAATGACAGATATCCACAGTGACTTCACCTCCCGTCAGCAGCGCTGCTGGAGCTGAACTGACACCCCACAGGCACCATAAACAGAGGTGGCCACGGGACATTTGGGGCTGCTGAGTCCCAGCTTGGAGCACTCCTGCCCTGCTCCTCTCTGAGCCATGCAGGGGACACTGGTGTCCCAAAGCTCCTCGCCCTCACTTATCCCATTCCCAGTGCATTGCCAGCTCTCCCTTCTGTCAGGGGACACTGGTGTCCCAAAGCTCCTCGCCCTCACTTGTCCCATTCCCAGTGCATTGCCAGCTCTCCCTTCTGTCAGGGGACACTGGTGTCCCAAAGCTCCACACCCTCACTTGTCCCATCCCCACCAGCTCCCCTTTCCCACCAGCACAGCCAGAGCTTCCCCAGGCTCCTGGCAGCAGCAGCAGCAGGGATGGAGGTGGCACTGCTGCCTCTCAGCTGCTGAAGGGACCCTTGTACACCCAAACCACCCGGTGACACCTCCAGGGCTCTCGGGAGGGAGAAAAAAGCCACCAGACGAGTCCCCGCTGTTGGCAAAGAGCCATCCCCAGGCAGCTCCTGCGCCCTGCCTGTCTCTCCTCCCTGAGCAGCCCCCGGGGACACCCCTAGCGCTTACCCAGGCCTGCCCTGGCAGAAGGTGGCACAGATGCTGTCCCTGGAGTGCGAGCACTCGCACCTGCCCGCCGACCTCTTGCGCCGCCTTGGCGGGCTGCCCAAGCCGTAGGGAGCGGTGTGCCTGGGGAAAACAAAGGAGTTCAGCTATGCCACCAGCTTTTTATTGGCCAGCAGGTTTGTACCAGGGTCCTGGGAGGCAGCCAAGCCAGTGCCAGGATAATAAAAATCTCATTTATAGACAGAAGGTGAAAAGGTCTGAGCTTTAAACTCAGCTCCTCTCCCACCTACTGCTTTTTCCGCACCCCACCCCTCCCATGGCTGCTCTGTGCTGGCTGGGAACGGGAGTTTTCTCTCCTTGCAGCAGCCCAGGTGCCCGTGCAAGGCTTGGCCGAGCTGGCGGCTCCCATGGGTGGCCCAGCCCAGCAGCCCCAGCACGGCTGGGGTGTCAGCGCTCTCCTTCCCCGCAGGTTTAACCCAGGACACCGCACAGCCTGACGTGTCTCGGGGCCAGAGCAGGTTCTGGTGCTCGCAGCCCGCTCCCAGAGCTGCGAGCACACTCCTGCTCCATCTCTGATGGCAATCTCCTCTCCCAGAGGCTGCAGGATTGGCAGCCACTGCAACTATTCCCCGAGCAAGCAGCGAGTTGTAAATGCATGTCAGCGAGCACGATTATAACCACACCTGAGCGCATGTGTTGTGCTCCAGTGCGATGGCCATTGGTCTGAAAGCGCTGGGAAAGCTGCTCCGGCATTCCTGAGGGCAGGACTTGGCAGCCGCGGCCCGCAGTGCCAGCCCACCGCTGTCTCATTAACAATACTGGCAGGCAGCAGCCAGGCTTGCGGCGTGCGAGCGGGGAGAGGAACTTTTCTGACTCGCAGCCACAACATCTCGCTGCTGCTGCGGGCTTGCAGAGGTGAAAACCTCAGGAAAAAGCCGAGCCCGGGAGGAAGCAGCACCCTGTGCTTTCACCCTGACCCCTGGGGTCGGACAAACACCTGAGCAGCAGCCGCAGCCGCAGCAGCAGCAGCAGCCGCAGCAGCAGCAGCAGCCGCAGCAGCAGCAGCAGCAGCCGCAGCAGCAGCAGCAGCAGCAGCAGCAGCAGCAGCAGCAGCACGGTTTGTCCCTCCCTGGGCTGGCCGTGCACCTCGGAGCAGGTGCTGCAGAGCCGCAGAGCGCCGGGACCCTTTCCCAGCCTCCTCCAGCAGAAGGTACAGCCCCTGCCCATCAGCAGAGCAGCCCGAGCGCCGCGCTCCTGCTCACCCAGGTGTGTTGACCCAGATGATGTCCAGGTGACAGAAGTAGATGCATTCCTTATCCAGCCAGCTGTTGCAGGAACATCGCTTGCTCCGCGGCCGCGCCGCCAGGTGCGCCTCGGGCGGGGGATGGCCCAGACCTGCAGCAGGAGCGCGGGGAGGGAGGGATGAGTCCGGGTGTCCCCTCTGAGCCTCGCGGCCGTGTCCCGGTGCCGGCGGCAGCGCGGCGGGGCTGCGGCTCCTCCGGGACCCGCGCGGCCCCGGGGGCTCCCCGGAGCGGGGGTCCCGCACGGCGCCCGCGGCCTCTGCGCCCACCCCGGGCACCCCCGGCCCCCTCCCCGCGCCGAGGGGCGCAGGGGGTCCCCCCCTCCCTGCGGGACCCCCGGGGCACCGAGCCCCGCTCCAGCCCGGGGCTCACCGGCTTCCAGCAGGGCGCAGAGGGCGAGCGCCAGCAGCACGGCGGAGCGGCTGCCCATGACCGCGGCTCTGCGCTGGCGGCTTTGGGGCTCCTGCTGGGCTTTTCCTCCCGTGCCGGCTCTTCCAGCCGAGCCGCCGCGCTGCGTCTGGAGCCGGCGGGCGCCCGGCAGGTGCTTTATAGCCCCGGCCCGGCGCGTCACCCGCTCCGCCCCCGGGGAACGCCGGGCTCGCGTGGGGCGGCGCGGACCCCCCGCTCCTCCCTGCAGGGCGCCTCGGGCTCCTCTGCCTGGGGAGCTCCGCGGAGAAAGTGCCGGGGAGTGGGAGAAGCCTCCCGGGCCGGGATGCGGTGAGGCGGGACCGTGTGCGGAGTGTGCCCCGAGGGGTCCCGAGCGGGGCTGGGGCTGCGGGTGAAGGCAGCGAGCGCAGCGGGGTCCGCAGGCAGTGTGCCCCTGGGAGCCCCCCGGCCCCGGGGGATGCTTTAAACTGCACCAGCTGGGCAGGATTCAAGATCACAGCCAACTTTTCACTTGAAATGTCTTAATTTGACTTGCTTTATTTTAGTAAAAATGTAAATTGATAAGCTCGCTTGAAATTGCTGCTCAGTTAATGCAATGACAGTCTTGGCTTTCTCTGTCTCTCTCTGTTCCTCTATTTTTTCCTCTAAATCCACTTTAACATAGAGCAATTCAAGCATTTTTACATAGAGCAATTAAAGTTTCTTGCAATAAATCTGCCCGTGCACTGTCTAATTTCGCTTCAGCATCCATGTGGCGCATTTGACATTATCTGCACATTTTTAGGGTGCGAATCATGTGAAGCACAGTCACCTCCTGGAATGCACCAGGAGGAGTCAGAGCCCTTCACCTTGCCCGTGGTGTGTCAGGCAGAAGCAGGAAATTCCTCCGGGGAAGTGTTGGGTGCTGACCATGCCAGGGATGGATCACAGCTTCCAGGCACCCTGAATTCCTTGGGACCACCAGTCCAGCTGGGAATGGCAGCTCCAGACATGGCAAATCTCGGGCAAATCCTGTGAGCGGTTTAGAAAAGTGAAATCACCGCGTTTGCCTTTTGCAAGAGGTTCTCAAAAGCTTCTTGGGAAAGGGAGTGTATTTTATTTGTTTACCATGCGCAGTTCAGCTTTTATGGCCCTGTTGTCATGGGCAAGGTGGTGGCAATTGCAGCCACAGTGAGGTCTCATGCACAGGAACACGTGCGTGGGGGAAAGGAGAGGGAAATAAGGAAAAGCGCAGGGAAGGAGAGTGAGGAAAACGGCTCCTGAGCCGGAGCTTCTGCTCACAGCAGCTCATGGAAGTAACACAGGTGATGACTGCAGTGCTGCAGGAAAAGTCTGGAGGATTTGACATTCCCTAGGTCCAAGCAGCAGTGGGAATTCCTCTCTGTGCTGATGCAAAATGCACACAAGGGGGTGTGTGCAGGGAAAAACCAGCGGGAGCAAAGAAACTGCACAGGAGAGCACAGACATTTACAGAGGGCATGAAGTGAGGGGGCACAGAGGCCAGAGGGAATGAAAAATGTATGTATGGGCACGCCATGGAAATAAGAGTAGGGGATGTGTCAGGCAGAGAAAATCAGGAAGAGTGCAAATGATAAATTAATAAGAAAATAAAGACAGAGCTCATAAAACAAAGCAAACAGAGGGAAGCATTTAACCTCTGTACCAATGCAACAATTATTCTAAAGAAAACAGGGGAACACAAAAGCAGCATTACCTGTTACTGCCCATATTCCAGCTGTGCCAAGTTTCAGAGTTATGTCAGAGTTGTGTGTGGCATTCCAGATGCCAGCCCAGTGATACAATAAATCTGCCTTGGCTCTCCTTCCTGCACTGCTCATCTTGGTCACTGCGGGCTGAAAGACGATCCCCTGGACGTGGGGAAGGCAACGCAGCCGTGTTTGCTCACCCCGAGGGAAGGCTGGCTGGTAAATGACATCATTTTATACAAAAAAGGGCGCTGTCTTTGCAGGGGTGCTGCCGGTGAGGGCTGGCACGGAGCTGCCACTCTGCGGGGTTGGTTTGCTGAAGGGATCAGCCCTGTCACACCTCGTGCCTTGGGCAAGGAACCACAGGCTCAGGGTAACCCAGGATTTGGGCATCTGGGTCCAAGGAATGTCCTCCACCTTTTGTGGCTGGGGCTGTCACCCAGCTCACATTTCCAGGAGCACCTGGAGCTCCACGTACCTGTCTGCAATCTGCCTGTGGCTGGAAGTGCCCAGATGTCTGCTGCTATCCGCCTGCCATGCCAGGTGCAAAACCACCTCACGAACCAGGCCTTTCATCCAAGGATTTCTCAATTGTTGTCTTCATTCCCCATAAATCCCACCAGACCGAAAGTGGAGCAAATGTTACACCCTTGTGCTCATCTGTGTCAGTGGAAGGGAGATTGAATTTCTTTTTTTTCTCCAGGAAAAGCCCTCCTGTGCTGAGCAGGCACCAACCTGAGCAGCACACTGTGGGATGTTTGGCACCAGAGCTTCAAAGATCCCAAAGGATGTGGGGTTGGGATGAATGCCTCTGTTTCTTGTGGGGATGTGGGAAGCCTGCAGAGATGAGCTGAGGTTGGCACTGAACTGGTTTTGAACTGACCCGGCTCTAAGAGCTTTATCCAGAGCTGAAGAGTTCCTGTGGAAAAACCACACTTTAAAAAGTTGTATTGCCTTTAGGTTCCTGTGGAAAAACCACACTTTAAAAAGTTGTTTTGCCTTTAGGGCTTGTGAGGGAGAATGGCCAGAGAGAAGGTGAAGCAGCTGCTTCAGCACCAAGCACTCCCACAGAGCAGGGGGGACTCAATGATCTTCAGGTCTTTTCCAGCCTTAGTGATTCCGTGGTTCAGTGATTATTCTGGTGTCTGTGGTGGTTCCAAGGGGATCTGCTTGGTTCAGATTGAATTGTGGAACATCCTGAGCTGGAGGGAACCCACAAGGTTCATCCAGCCCTGTCCCTGCCCTGCCCAGACCCCCACCAGCCCCACCCTGGGCATCCCTGGGGCTCTGGCAGCCTCGGGGCCGTGCCCATTCCCTGGGCAGCCTGGGCAGTGCCAGCACCTCTGGGGGAAGAACCTTTCCCTGAGCTCCAGCCTGCCCTGCCCTGGCCCAGCTCCAGCCGTGCCCTGGTGCTGTCCCTGGCCCAGGGCAGGGATGGGAGCTGCCCCTCGGGAGGAGCTGCAGGTCCCTGAGCTCTGCCCTCGGTGTGCCCTGCTCCAGCTGCACACACCAAGAGCCCTCAGCTGCTCCTCCTGGGACCCCTCCTGACCCTTGACCATCTTTGGGCACCCTCAAACACCTCTAGATCTCATATTTTGGTGCCCCACACCCACAGAGTGGATGCCCTCGGGCTGTGGGCTGCAGGACCAGCCTGCACTGGGAGCTGTGGCTCTCCTTGACCCCTGGAGCACGGAGAACCTGCACAGCTCCTGCCACTGTCCTCTCTGTTCCCCTGATAAGGATCAGGAGCCAGCTTCCCAAGGCCAACCCTCCTGGCACTATCACCACACTAGAATCACAAAGAAAAACAACAGGGCTGGAGGAGGGCCGGGCCGTGCTGCACAAACACAGCTCCAGAGAAGGAACAAAGGCGTGCGCGGGGTCTCAAACGCCAAAGATGGGCTTTGCCTCCTGCAGTTATTTTTTCCCTTTTGTTTCTGACTGCGGGAGCACATTGTTCATGTCACTGTGAGGAGTTCCAGGCAGACATGACGAAAGGGACGAAGCAGCCCAGGACAGGAGACATCCCGTGCGGCCCTCGCGAGCGGCACTGTTTGGAAACAAGGAGTGAGCAAACAGGAAAGGCCTTTAACCATTGAGCACTCGGGATCCCAGCGTGCTCTTGGCACCAGCAGGAACAATGGGCTGATGTCACGAGCCAGAATTCCCCGTGGTGGATGGCAGCCCAGCAAATAATCATAATTCTTGTCCTGGGACATGAGCAACATTTTTCCACCCTTGGTCATCCCCCACGGAGCCGCTGTGAGGAAGTGTAGGAAAGAGACATTGTCAAGTGAGGCTTCCTTTGGGATTTTCGCTGCCCCCCCTGCCCTCCCCAGCTCAGCACACCAGCTGTAATAAATCCCAGCTTTCTGCTGACAGTGAGGACAGGGAGGCTGAAGGAGATGTGTCGCACAGTGAGAAAGACTGAGGACAGAGTCTGGATACTTGGAAGGCAAAGGGGCATTTCCTCAGCTCTGTGGGGCTGTGAGCGGGCACAGAGTGAATCTGGAGCATTGCCCACGGGATTCCAAAGGTGCTGAGGATGGCTCAGGAGAGGGTCCTGCACAAACAGCGGTGGTTGGGGAATTTCAACAATTCTTTTTCAATAATTTCAACAATTTTTTCAACATTTAAAAATTATTAGTAATTTTTAAGGCTCCTAAACAACATTAATAATATGAAGGCATCCTCCAGATCCAAGTTTCTCCTTATTTTGGCTTAAAGTCAGCCCTGTGGAGAATATCCTGAAGTTCATTTGCAGCATCCAGGCCTCTCCTGAGGCAGCTCTTGAATTCCTTTTTGGGTCCTTTCTGTTGATGGGGATTGGTGCCATGGGAGGACTGGGAGAGTTGGGCAGCCCTCAGGGGCTTTGTTCCTGGGCTGTTAATGAAAATCCAGACTCACCTCTCCAAGATTTGCTCTTCAAGGTCCCGGCTGGTTTCCCTGCAGCCACCCTGGGCTGGGCTGTCCCTTCTGTGCCATCCCAGGGGAGGTGACACTTCTTGCTGGAGCTGGACATGGGATTTCAGCAGCAAAAGGGACCTCAGTGAGCCCCAGGCAGTCCTGAAATGCAGCCCTGGAGAGAGAAACCCAAAGCCATGGATTCGTGCTTGGTTTGCTGATAACAGCTTTGTCCTGCCCTGTGTTTGAGTCTGGCTGAACACAGCCCCAGGGGCTGTTTGCCGTGGTCACAGTGGGGTTCTTCACGTGTTTTCCCATCCTGAGGCTCCCGGGGAACCCCAGGGTGCCTCTCGGGGTGGGCAGAGGCAGCCTGGCCCCAGGCGTTGGCACTGCTGCCTCTGCCCACAGACACGAAGGTGTTCCCAGGACACGCGGTGGGCTCACGCAGGGAGGGGAAGATCCTGGGGTGTGCCGGCTCCGTCCTCCCCAGGGAGGTGGGAAGGGGCAGGAGGCCTTGGCAAGGACCACCTGTGACACCCAGGAGGGTCTGACCCATG